TTTAAGTGTTAAAATAAAATTTAAAATATAAAATAGGAATATATGTAATATTTTTATTATGTATAAGAAATCAAGACACATCAACCAATCACTCACCCTTTACACAATAAATTTTATTTTTTTTTGGAAGAAACCTTTACACAATAATAATTACCATCATAAATCCTTCCACCCTCCCCTAAATCTACCTTAATTCCAATTTTACTTACAATTTGCTCTTCACCAGTTCACCATTACCCCCCCCCCCCCCCAAAGAAAAAAGGAATTTCCAAGATAATAATAAGATCCGAGTTTTAAACATATTAGGCGAAGTTACTTTCCATATGAAATATTTTAAGTTCGAAGTTCCTTCCCAAATTGAATACGTGTTAGACGTGAACGGTGTGACAATGCTAAGAGTAGCTTAATTTTTTTCTTTTTCCTACTCGGGGGCCTTTGGCCCCTTCTCCCTACCAAAAAAAAAAAAATATATTAGAATAATAAAATTTATGATGTAAGATATATAATGTATTTTATGAGTTAGAAACATGTACTTTATGTGTTATAATAATATATTTTAATAAATTAGAATGATGTACTTTATGTGTTTAGTTGTGTGGACCACAATACATGCAATAAGGAAACTAAAGTCACAATACGAGATTCATTTAGGGTCCGTTTGGAAAGCAGGAAAATGACTTCTGGAAAATGTTTTCTGGAAAATGAGTCATTTTCCGGAAAACATTTTCCTTTCCAGTGTTTGGTTGCATTCTGGAAAACTGTTTTTGTGTGTTTGGTTCATTTTCTGGAAAATGAGTAGAATTGTATAATTAAACATTTTAATTATTTTATTTCGAATATTACAACATGTATAATAATATATAATAATATAATAATATAATAATATAATAATATAATAATAATTTTAAATATAATAAAAAAACTAATAATATATCAAAAATATTATGGTGGTGGTGGTGTAGTGGTAGTTGTGTTATTTGTTATATAATAATAATAGTAATAGTAATAATAATAATAATAATAATAATAATAATAATAACAATAATAATAATAATAACAACTGGTGGTGGTATGACGGCAGTGGCAGTGGTGGTGTGGTGGCGGCGACGGTGGTTGCGGTGGTATGGTGATGGTGGTGGTGGTGGCGGCGACGGTGGTTGCGGTGGTATGGTGGTGGTGGCGGCTGCGGTGGTATGGTCGTGGTCGTGGTGGCGGCGGCGGCGGCGGCAGTGTGATGGTGGTGGTGTGGTGGTAACGGTGGTTGCGGTGGTATGGTGGTGGTGGTGGTGGCGGTGACGGTGGTATGGCGGCAACGGTGGCGGCGTCGATGGTATGGTGGTGGTGGCGGCGGCGGTGGTGGTAGTGGTGGTGTGATGGTGGTGGTGGTGGCGGCGACAGTGGTTGCGATGGTATAGTGGTGGTGGTGGCGGCAGCGGTGGTGGTAGTGGTGGTGGCGGTGGTGGTGGCGGCGACAATGGTTGCGGTGGTATGGTGGTGGTGGTGGTGATATGGTGTTGATGGTGTTGGTGGTGGTAGTGGTTGCGGTGGTATGGTGTTGATGATGTTGGTGGTGGTGTGATGTTGGTGTAAAAGTTGGAAAATGACTTCCCCTCAAAAAAAGGGGAAGTCATTTTCCTCCAAAATGAGCCTATTTTCCAAAGTCAACGGAAAATGATTTCCGTTGACTTGATTTTCCAGACACATCCAAACAATGGAAACTTGGAAAATGATTTCCAGAACTCATTTTCCAGGTTTCCAAACACACCCTTAGTGTACTTATACAATCGAATAGTGACGGTTGTTTTCCCTCATCTTAAAAGAATCTTAAATTTTTGTAAAAAGTTTTAAGAAAATTAATGTTGAAATTGAATGTCTTTGACCTTTTTTGGGTGTTAATTTAAAAGCAAAAGAAGAATCAATATAAAGTATGCCTGCAAGGAAAAGAGAGATAATTAATATAATTAAGCCCCACTAATGGGAAGATTATAATACTAATATTCATAATTAACAACTAGCTTACAATGTTGTCAAGTTGGGTGTACGTGTTTGTTGTTAGGACTATAATGAAGGCGTGTACAATCAATACGCATAGATATTGATAGCTACAACATACATTCATTGTTAATTATACTCCGTATTATTAGTGTTAATTATACTCCGTATTATTACCGGGCGTGTGGTTGAAAGGGGGAATTACGTGGGAAATGAATTACAATTCTATGGGGATGAATTACTGGAAATAAAATGAGAATTTAAATACCAGTGTTTGGTTTACGAGAATATAATTACTGGGAATTTTAATTCCAGTGTTTCATATACATGGGAATTGAAAGGGAATAAGTAGTATAAAGTCCAAAATGCCAATTATTGTTGTGGTATTAATTTTAAGTTTAAAAAATGAGAGATAATTTTGTCTCATCACTAACTTTTTTTCTTCCTAAAATCCCATAAATTAAAATACCAGGGGGACATGAGATTTTAATTCCATAAAAACGAGAGAATTGCAATTCATTCCAACCAAACTAAGGAATTTTATGACCTTTGAAATTAAGTGGGAAGTGAATTTAAACTCCCTCCAACCAAACGCTTATTATTATTATTATTATTATTATTATTATTATTATTATTATTATTATTATTATTATTATTATTATTGGTTAGAAAAAGATAATATTGTTCGCTCCTAAATTGTTTTACTTTTAAATATTTAATCAATGTAAGTTAATTTAAGTAAAACTAGCCCACTAGGACTATGTGGTCTAATGGTATCCGGGTTGGACTTTCATTTGGAAGGTTGTGAGTTCAAGCCTCAGTGGAGGTGTTATTGGCTCTTTGTGTTTCAATAGGTTGAGAAAGTATATGAACAGATACTACAATCTAATAGAGCTAGTAGCATTCAAAAAAAAAAAAAAAGTAAAACTAGCCCCTTATTATATTATTCATAATGTTGCATTTGTAGTCCATATCATTATATAATTATCAAATTTCATTAACATATGAAGTTATCACTTTTTTAAAATTACATTCATGGTGACATGATGAAACTTTAACCATACAAATTTATTCTAAATGAAAAAAATAATATCATAAAAAAGAGATTGCTAATAGGGTTTGATAATTATATAACATTAGAAATTGAAAGTGAAACATAATAAATAATTAAGAGAGTAAATATGTTTAAATCAATTCATATGAACCATATTTTTAAAAGTGAAAAAATTCATGGACTAAAAACGTTGTTTTCTTATTATTTATATATTCCCTCCGTCCCAATTTATGTGCCCGGTTCGGTTAATGAGGTTTGACTGAAATTGTTTTTAATTTAATTTTTCATAATATTCTTCCAAAAGGCTGAACCCCAACCTTAAGGGTCCCTCACACCTCGACCCGACAGAGTATTTGGAAGGATGTAAATCATGGTAACTCAACTGAACATAAACCGCAGAGGCTAGACCGGTGCTCATTGCGCACAAGGAACCCCCCTCACTTTGAGAGGTTGCTCTCACACTGCCGCTGGTGAGATTCGATTCCTAGTCATTCTTCCAAAGTTTCACCTCTATGGCTAATTTTTCATAATATTAAGTTTAGTATTAGTATACAAAATTTATATATTTAGAAACTACACTAAAAGTATTATTAAACACAAAAAATCAAATTCAAAAATAAGTATAAAATACTAAAAAAAGAAATAATTAGTTTGATCAATAAATAATAAGTAGGACAAATAAAATGAGACATGGGGAATATTAAGAAAGCTAATATTATATGATATGAATATTTTAATTTTTCAATAACAATATCTGCACGAAAGGTAGGTAGAAGCTAGACAAATCCCTTGTTACTTTTCATTGTTCAAACCAATTTTTTTCCTGAAGTGAACATATTGTTATGTGATAATTATATTTTAAATATACAAACAATATTTGTATTAGCTTTTTGTATAATCGTATCAAACGATGCACATAAGTATTCTGATTCTTTATATTATTTTTAAATTTCTTGTAAATTATTTACAATTATGTCTAACAAATAAAATTTGATAACATTTTTTATATAGGTAACGTTTATTGCATTAAATTACACATGATTTATATTTTCAAAACTTAAAAAAAATGAATTTCTAAAGAATGAAAGCAGTAAATTAAAAGTTTAAACATTCATAAATATATGTAAATCATACCAGCAATGATGAATTTCACCCATTGATATAGGAGTTGAATTTTCAATCTAAAAAGTTCAAAATTATTTTCATTTATTTATTTCGGTCAAAAGCCATTAAGTTTCATGATGTATGACATGTGTAATCAGTGTAAAGAACAAATGCTATTTTGCTATTTATAAAATATATATATAGTTACGTTACATAATATATTCTATTCTATATTGATCGACTGAAAAAAAAAGACAAAAAGAAAAAACGAAAATAAATTACCTACACAATTAATAATTGCGCAAACACGTTAATGTTATAGTCATATATATATATATATATATATATATATATATATATATATATATATAATATAATATAATATAATATAATATAAAATAAAGGCATATTAGGGCAACTCCAGTCAACTTTCTTGAATTATTAATTTTGTAGTTGTAAAATTTTAAAATTCAACTTTTAACAAATTAGTCTTTCGATCTCAGTAATTTGAGTTAGATAACTATAACCTATAGGTAATTTGAATTATCTTATCCGATTATAGTTTTTTAATGCGATTTATTCCGTGCTATAGAACATGATTTTCGTATTAAAATATCACAAGTTTTAATCTTTACTCATTATCTCAATCAAGTAAATAAAACATGATTCTCATTTAAAAAGTCAAAATTATAATTTTTATCAATACTTTCTAAATAAATGAATAAAATATAATTTTAATATTAAAATATCATAAATAAATTTAATTTTATCAACATTCTCTAATCCATCCAGGTATTAATACTTTTATGTGACGTTAGTTATATAGAATAGCAGAGGAAAAATCTTGTTTCATAGCTCAGAGGTGAAGTGTATAGTTGCTGAGAAAGATTGACATCAGAGAAGGAAGCATAGAATAAAAGAGGTTCTTAGAAGGTCGTTTGTTTGTGCGAAAGGTTTTCTTCTTAATATGGGATCCCTCACTCTCTTCTCTTTCTCTCTCTAAAAAGGGAAGAGCATTGGTTTAGAGAGGGAGAGAGAGAGTGAGACACCGGTCCCATCAGATCGAAATCTCTAATTCTTTTCTTCAGTTTTTTTTTTTTTTTTTCTTTTCTCCATGAGGATCTGAGCTCTTCAATGGTGTTACCAAACAACCCACTTTCTCCTTTCCTTGTTTTTATTCCCTAATTATTAAAAATTTTCTGCTTTTGCTCTTTTACTTTTATTTATTTTTATGTAATCCGTATATTTTTGTTTTTCTATTTTGCCTTTTCTTCTCTGTTCGTTTTTTGTCCTGCCTAGTGCCCGTATGGGGCTCTGAATTCTCCATTCTCTATTCAATGTTTTAATCCATTGGAGGAGGGTCATGAGCAGAGATGGTTTCAAGATGTGAGTTTAAGGTAAACTTATATATTTGTGGGTCATTTTCTTAATCTGTAGATTTATTTAATTTGACTATTACATACTGAACAGGGAATTCTTGTTTATATAATTGGCATCAATTGATAATTCTGTGGTTCTTTAAGTTATTATATTCAGAACTGTTTATTTATTTTTGTATTTTTTCTAATTAATGCTTTGCTTAATCTTGGTAGTTTGAGATTATTTTATCATATAAATTTTGAGGAGGTAAACTGGTGGTCCATTTCCTGTATTTATATACTGTAGTTTACTTACTGGTAATGTATATCTGCAGATGTGACCAATTCTTGGATTTGCTAAGTGGTGTTTACTACTTGGGATCTTTTAAGCCTTTATTTAATGGACTTATCCCTGAAGAGGAAGTGTTTTTTCTTTTAATAGAATTTCCTTCCTCATAAAGGATTTTATCATTTTAACTGTAGTAAGCAACCTGTGTAATGGTGCTTCTAACTATGAATAACGCTATTTGGTTGTTTATTTTATTGTTATTCTATGGTTTTGATTATTGCTGGTTACACTGATTATATTACCTATAAGAGCAAGTGGTTTTGGTCAAATTAAGGTGCTTATTTCCAATAAAGGAGCCTCTTCGAAGCTCTCAATTGGATTTAACATTTGGACTTTATCCCAGTTATCTTGGTAGTTTGATTTTTCATGCCCACCTTCCTATGAAATGTCTAGCAATGGAAAATGCCGCCAAATCTATACTACATTTTCAAACCATTGAAGGTGACCTGCATTTATTTTTATAGGGAGAACCTTGGATTTAAGTATTAATGAGTCCTTACTTCTTCGTGAGAAACAACAGAGATTTATTTTTGCTGCAACGGTTATCTGCAGATTGCTGCCTTATCTACCTTAGGTGATTATAACTATTTGATGGTACTTATCAACTGAGAGAATAAAAGCTAAAGTCTATTATTCTATTTGATGGTGTATGGATAAGTTTAATTCCTAATCAATGAAGAGTAGGACTATACTTATCTTTGAACTTGTTTAGTTGAAGTGGTAATAATTGTTGTTATGTGGTGATTAATGCTTTAACAAAGCAAGATAACTCCGAATTCCTGTGGATGTTTATGATTGTCTTAACCAAGGTCTGATGATAACTTGAGGATGATGTGTTGGTAACTTGGTATAGTAGGTCCTTGGATTCTTGTAAAGGAAAATGCATGAATTGATAACATAAATTATCAATTCATAGAGTGATTTCTGTGCTACAGATTGGCTTAGTGAAATTCGGAGTCTACATGAAGTGCTCTTCTTTTGAGGAAAATGTGCAAATAATTAGGTTCATACCATTAGGATTTACTTTGTTAGATGCGGGTTATACTTCATTCAATAAGATATTATTTTTGGGAGGGAGGTCGGGGGAGTAAACAGGGCATTCTTCTTTCTCATTTTGTTGAGCAAGGTCTTGGATCATATGTTTTTTCTTTATTCTTTTTTGATGTTGCTTCTGCATCTATGAAGTCCACTATTAGCCGGCAAGGGGTGTGTTTTGTTGCTTAATTCTGTTTTATTCTTTTTCTCACTTGTGTTTGATTTATCTTCGACTGTTTTTGGATTATTGTTCTTTCATCTCTACTTTCCTCTAACAAATAAGGGAGACTCAATATAAAAGTAAGTATATAGGAGCTTTTCATTTCCTATAATTCCAAGTTACCGTATTTTAATCTAACTATGGTACACATAATTGTTAAATAACCTACTTTTTTACTTTCTTATAATATAATATACCAATGTAGTTGTGTTCTTTATGTTCCTTTCTCCCAAAGTTGTGATAAAATTAACAACAGTAATGGTTTTCTGTGGTCGCTGCCAATAGATATTGATGTCATACAAGAATTATCCTAGGAATGCCTTGTCTTCTCTTTGCTTATTATTTTCAAGTAATCAAACTAACTAGTCTTCATTACAGATCAGTCGAGATTAAAAAAAAAAAAAAGTACGGAGTACTTCATTTTGGTTTTGATTCATGCAGGAGTATGGGAATCCAAGTGCAGAATAAGGACCACTTTCCAGTTTATCACCACATGAGAGACCTCAACGGGAATGCTAGCAGCAATAATTGGCCATTTTATTACAGCGATAGAACCTTAATAAATGGGCAATATTGTAATGGTTTCATGCCAAGGACCATAACAGATGCAAATTCTGATTATGAGAAGGATTCAGTAAAGCAGAAAATGATTGAACATGAGGCTGTTTTCAAGAATCAAGTATATTTCCAGTTGTTTCCTCTGTTTATTTATTTATTTTAATAACTGTTATTATTTGATCTAGCTTTTGGTTGTCATGCTGGTATCTGTCTCATTATTATCTAATGAGCGCTTCCTTTTTAGAAGTCTTTTTCCTTGTGTCTAAGGACTTTTGCTGGATAAACTTAATTATTCGAGATTCTGCTCCCAGGTTTCAGAACTCCATAGACTTTACAGAATCCAAAGGGACATGATGGAAGATGCTAAAAGAAGGGAACTTAATAAACATTGGATGCCAATGGAGCCATCATCTTCATCTAGCATCCTAGGTTCACAAATGCCATCAGAATATGCTTGGAAATGGCAAAACACTTGCTTTCCTTTCGTAAATTCCGGATATGCTAGGCCAGCTGCGTCTAGCACTGACATTGTTAACTCTCCCCTAAGCTGTACAAAGGGAAATGACATACAGTCTGGTCGAATTCCATTGCAAAACGGGTGTTCATCAAAACACGGTGAAGTGTTGGATTCTAGACCATCAAAGGTGTGTAAAAAGTTGTTTGATCTTGAGCTCCCAGCATACAAGTACGTTGATACTGAAGAGGGAGAACACTTGCATGATTCCAAAGAATCTTTTCATCCTGGAAACTCTAAGAATACTCATGAGAGTAGTGTGAAGTTGTTTCTTGATGGCCATGGAGCAACTGATTGCCGAAAAGATGCTTTAACATCCAATTTATGTCTAAGAAGTGGAAATAAGTTGGCTGATCTCAATGAACCTGCCCAGCTTGATGAAGCAACCACTCAATCACCTGTTAGTTTTTTTAGCCATGACACTAATCACACAGAGGCTAAAAGCTCAAGTTTTATTGGTAAATCAAATCCGTTATTGGCTTCATCAAGAGAAGGGATCCAGAACTGTCATTATGGTAACGGATTTTTAAGTAATCTATCTGCAGAGAGCCAGGGAAAACAGAGAGGATTGCTCCCATACACATATGAAGCAGGTAATACCTTTTATTACGATGCCTTTCTCTGATCAAATGGGGAACTTTATGAAATATGTACACAACAAAGCAGTCAAAAATAAATTTTCATCTCTTCACATAGAATAGTACTATGCTAAAACTATAGCTTCTTTTTCGGGTCCTTGGTATTAGTGTATTACAGTATGTATGGGGTCTTTGTTCATTTTGCAGGTCACGTTAAGAAAAACCAAAGTCAAGCACTGGAGGGTCTTGAAAAAAATAAGTCATACATGCATTGCCATCCAGCTGAAGGTATACAAGGCAGAGCTCAGCAACATCCTGGAATTCATCCAACTCATGGTATTAGGGGTGACATGTGGAGAGGGAAGACAGGTTGTGGTTTACCAACCTTTGAGAAAAATCATGACAACTCCAATAACAGTTGTGTGGAACCACTTGCTAATTCATGCTCACATTCTGTATCAGCTTGGGGAAAGTCAACGAGTAGTGTCACTCAGAAAGTGGCATCATCATTTCATAAAAACCCTTGTCTGAACTCATCAACATCCTTGGAAATGCGGCTTTCTGAAAACACCCACACATCCATTGGGGACAACATCAATGGCAGTTCTAGGGAGGTGAATCCAGGTTTGAGCAGTGATGTTCTGCTCAGGAATGGGTTCGCCCATGGATCTTCTAGGTTGAGGGATCAATCTACTTGCTTACCTTCAAATTTTTTAAACAATATGAAGAATAGTAGGGGTGATTATATGTCATCTGCACGCTCTACTAACCATTGGCATGATGAGAAGCTTCTTGTAAGCTCCAATTTTATGGATTCAAAGTCCACAAAAGGTTTTGATTTGAATGAGGCCATCGGTAAGGAAGATGAAGAGTTGGTTGACAATAAAGATAAGCTTGGAGAGAGTGCATCAATATTGTGTTGGCTTAAAGATAAGCCGGTTTGTAAAAACACGGGTAGGATACCAAACTCTGATTTTGGCTTCATTCAATCCTCTCCGAATCCACCTTTTTGCCAGAGTAACAATTCAAAGCATGCCAATGAGGCCTCCTGTCAGAGTGAGAGAACTATGGAGGCCAAGGAAGTGGGAGAGACTCCACGTGCTAAAAAAATTCTAGGGGTTCCGATTCTTGAAATTCCTTTTGCTTCCAAACATGAGTCATCTTCGCGTATTTCTACTTCAGCAACCATTTGTTCCTCAGCTGAAGGAGAGCTCCTCCGAAATGAAAAGAAGGGCATGATTGATATCAATGTGGCTTGTGACCTTTCAATTGATGATGAGTCTGACGAAATGGCAGTCCCAGAACCACTTTTTGCAGGGAAAGGGTTGGATTCAGAACCTGCTGGCATGCGAAATCATTTTGATTTAAACTCATGTATTACCGAGGAAGATGATGCATTAGGACCATCGGTCGCAAGCGATAATGTAAAGACAAGGGTCATATTGGACATAGATTTGGAAGCTCCTGTTGTTTTGGACTCGGAGGAAGATAATCCGCCCATACAAGAAAATAACCAACACGAGACATCTTTGCAATTGCCTGAGCACAAAACTGAGAAGGCAGACGATGAAGTAACCTGGACTGCAGCTGAAACAATAGTTGCCATGTCATCTGGTCAGTGCATTCCGACAGAGAATCCATCTGAAGATCCTTTTGCAGAAACACTTTCGTGGTTCGTTGATGTAGTCTCTTCTCTTGCCGATGAACTCAAGCTGAATTCAGGCAAAGAAATTAGAGGCAAGGGTGGTGTGCTTAATGAGCAGCATTTTTCCTACGAGGGAATAGATTATTTTGAGGCGATGACATTGCAACTAACAGAGACTAAGGAGGAAGAATACATGCCCAAGCCTTTTATTCCTGAAGATCTAAACATGGAAGATGCAGGTGAGCATTTGGCACCAACTCGAACCCGAAGGGGCCAGGCAAGGAGGGGAAGGCAACGGAGGGACTTTCAAAGGGACATCCTACCTAGTTTGACTTCCTTGTCGAGGCACGAAGTGTCTGAAGACTTCCAGACATTCGGAAGGCTGATGAGTCCTCAGACGTGTGGATTCACCAGAAGAAATGGGACCAGAAGTCTGAGTGCTAGGGGAAGACGACGAATTATGGTTGTTGAAACTGAACCACCTGCTGTTGTTTCAAACCCCGTTACCACTTCCCTGTTGCAGCAACTTAATAAAGGAGGCCTGGAGGATAAAAGCCTAACGGGATGGGGAAAGAGAACCAGACGGCCTCGAAGGCAAAGATGCCCTCCTGCAGCTAATCCTCCCATCGCCACGGTGACCTAAACCGTGGGAAGGAGGTAGTTTATAATCAATCCATCATATTTTATAGAGAGGAAGAAAGACAGTCTAGGAAGTGTTGGTTTTATGAGTTTGTGAGAGTGAGGTTCTTAGCTATGGGGGTCATTCTTGTATATGTCCTTTGTAGCCCTCCTCCCCCATGGCTGTTATTATGTTTATTTTGGCTGGTTTTACTAACTTGTTTTATTCAGGAATAATTCTGCGTGTTGTCTTTTGGATTTATACATCATTGCTTCAAATCCAAATACTTCAGACAGGCAGTCTCCTACAGACATTAGCTTCTGTCATCTCTACTAGATTTCTTTGATTTTGATTTATGATGCCAAAGCCCCCTATTGAAACCACCAACTCACATGTTATGTACAATTCAATTTCATGCAACTAAACAAAAACTAACACAATGAAACCCTATTGAAAATTGATACTTTGAGCAAGTAACCAAGTATTATTGGATCACATGTCACGGAGAAGACTGGGATAGGATATCAGTTAATTGTGAATGTTTGCATTAATATTTTAGTTTAGCTCGTATGTTGTATCCTTACTAGCTTACAACTTTTAGCGAGAAAAAAACTATTACAAAGGCTGAACTAAAATGCCACTTAATTGTCAGCACCTACATTAAAACTTTGAACAAGTTTATATCTTTATCAAAATTTTCATCATGTTTTTCAAATTTAATTCAAATATTACATTTATTTTTTAAATTTATATTTTAATATTTATGTGATACTTTTTTTTTTTGGTAGTTGATTATTAAATGAAAATTTTTAATTTAATGGAGCTGAATAATTTATGAGTAACTATTTTATTGTCACAGATTTTTTATTTTGTATTTTGAGATAGAGACGCGAAGATAGGCGCGTGAAGTGGAAACTGAAATGACAGATTGAGTGGAGGATTTAAGGAAGTTAGAAAGCTGACGTGCTTCTGTTCCTTTTTCAGCTCTCAGATTCTTTTTGCTCTTTTCATTTTAATTGTTTTTTTTTTTTTTTAAATCTGCAAAATAATTGTCTCTTTCCAGATACCGCCTCAACCCCTTTTCTGTTTTGACCAGAATCTTGTCCCCACAATTCTATGACACGTCGCCTCTCGCTCCATACAAATGGCTACAGATGAATTAACTTTATTTTCTCTTTTTTATTTTATTAATAAAATTATTTAATTCATATATGTTGTTTAGCCAGGGTTAGTATTGTAAAAATTGTGCCTAAACGTCGGCCGGTTAGGCCGCCTAGACCTTCTAGATTGTCTAATCGGCCAATTAGCTATTGTTTCATTCTTTTAATGATTATTTCACTCAAAACGATATCATTTTAAATAAAAATAATCATAAATGATTCAAACTCTAGATAATTTTTAAGTTAATATTTAATATTTAGTTTTTTTTTTTGAAAAATTTAATATTTTAGTATTAATTATTAAAGTATTAAATCGTTTATAATTATCAAATTTTAAAAAAATAAGAACAATTAGAATAATTTTTTTAACAAATACACGGGCGCTTAGTAATTGCACATATTTTTGTAAATTACAAAATTTTATGCTCTTCCGTTTATTATTAATGTTATAACAGTAATAACATTAATAAATCATGTCTCGAATCGAGCAGGACTAAACTCAGCAAACTTGATCAACGCCCCAACAAAAAAAAAAAAGATAAAAAGAAATATCAATCTTATTATCAAGAGTGCAAGAAAATAAAATAATAAAAAAGCAAGAAGATAAAAACAATAAACTTGATGATAATCTAAGAAATAGATGTTAATTCATGCACGTTGTTTAACTAGATTAGAGATTAGAGATTAGAGATAAATAATTACATTTAAATTCTTATCCCAATAGAAATTAAATGAGAAGGAGCTTTTTAAGGGACATGGGATTTATTCCTCAACATGAATGGAGAGTCATTGAGACGTACTATATATCCTTCCTATCTTGTTCTGTCTCAAAAATATATATATAATTATAATAATAAAAATAAAAATTTTAAATTTGAATCGCATTGTCATAATTTCAATAAAATTCAAAGAAACAATTTAATTTGGAGAGAGATAGATGCCCCCAAACTCAAGGTATGGATGAAGAATTATGATAGAGGATGGAGAATATTATTCTCATCTCAATATTATCTCTGAGCATCCATACCCGAGGTTAATAAGGGGTTAATGTCAGATGAATAAACTTGGATGGGAATATTAAAAGATGTGTGGTGGGGTTATTTGAGGGGAGAATCCTCCTGCAAATGTAAACATAATGTCAGAAGAAAAAGAAAAAAAAAATAATAAGCAACAGAGGCTGTGCGTGGCAACACGGGCGCATGCAGTGCACGCGCCCGTGTACGCGTCAGGACAGAGCGCCTGACGCTTCTGTTTTTTATTTTATTTTTTGTTGCAATTTCAATTTTCTCTTCTTTTTTTTTTCTCTCCCCTCCCACTTTCTCTTTCTTAATCACTCTTACATTATCCCTCATTCTCCCCAACTGATGCGGAATAATAGGAAAAGAGTAATCATACATACCCTTCCTATATTTATCTTAGATTCCCCTCCCGATATGACATTAGCTAATTATTGGAGTTTCCAATACGTGATTATTAACTGAATATTTTTTTTAATTAGTGGCAAGAGTCAATCGATTATTAATTGAATTCCTTTTTTAATTAGTGGTAGGAGCCAGTCAATTCATCTGTACTCAATGAATAAAATGGAGAACTAACATAATTACAACAATTAAAAGTGTAACAACTTTTAACCCCTTTTTTAATATTTAAAATAAAAAATCTTTTTGTCTTAGATAATATAATTAATTTTTTTTTTTTTTATCACAACTTAACTTCATGTTTAACTCAATGAATAAAATGGAGAACTAACATAATTACAACAATTAAAAGTATAACAACTTTTAACCCCCCCTTTTTTTTTTAATATTTAAAATAAAAAATCTTTTTGTCTTAGATAATACAATTTAATTTATTTTTATCACAACTTAACTTCATGTTTAAAAATTTTAAATAAAAAAAATCACAATCGCAACCGTCATTCTCAAAAACTTTTATCACAAACTTAACTTCATGTTTATAAGTTATATAACTCATAACCCACTTTTACAACAACTTAACTTCATAGTTATAAGTTATAACCCATAACCCATCATTCAGTTGTAACTATTCTTAAAAATATATTTTGTAAGTTTTAGATAATATCACAAAAACTATATTCTATTTTTAAACCAATGAGTGAATATTAAAAGTTAATTTAGAAAGAAACAAAAAACCCCCCACATTTTTAGTAAGCATTTTAATGATTTTCAAAAAATGAAAGTGAAGATAACGGCAATGGCGAGACACCATCTTAAAGGGAAAAAGTTAGAAAACAAGAGAATTCACTCTTATTGCTCCTCAAAGCTCAAACAATATAATTACACAGAAGAGACCAAAAACAACCTCTTGCACCTCCAATAGTACAATGAGAATGGAAGCCAAAAAGACCAAAAAAAACACAAGCTTTGGCAACTTCTTCCGGCATCTTCAACCGATGAATACATTATGTTCTTTGAGGAAAAAACAAACACTACACTCTCTGATAAACATATTTTGTTCTGGGATCCACAATAAGGCCCTTCTCTCCATTCGCTTCTATATCATGCCTGCAATTACAATGTCATGAAATAGTTCGTTTAAGAGTTATCCATCAAAGGGAGGAAAGAGTACATGCGTAAGACAGATCTCCATCCAAAGGGTGGGGGTTCATAAGACAGATCTCCATCCAAAGGGTGGGGGTTCATAAACTCAGTAGTACGTGTTGCATAGTTTAGGTGAAAATTATATTGGACCTAAGATTTTACTTGAGATGCAAAAACACATTGTTGATTGATTATGGACGGGTATGAAAACTTACTGAAATACAAAATCTGGAATTGTAAGCTGTTCACGTGGAACATGTCGAAATAGCTGAAGAAGATGATCAACATATACAACCTTTTTCCACACCTGATAATCAATAACACGAGGCATTTAAAAGTTCAGATAAACAGAAAAATTTGAGATACTAAGATAGAAAAGCAGGATTTTCTTTCATTTTGTATAGCTTTTTGTCGATTTATTTATTTATATTTTTCATAACTAATTCAGCTTGGCTAGAGCTTCTAGTACCTCTTTATCCACAAAGAGTTGCAATGCACCAACGGAAGCCTTTAGACCTATAGTTGGGTGAAGGACATATATTGCCTGCATAGAAAAAATGTAGATTCAGGTTTAACAGCAGAAAATTGCTAAAACCTACTCTAGTATTTGAAAGGCAGAAATGAGATTGTTACACGAAGGTTATGCCTATGTCTCCGGCCCAGTATTTGTTGTAATCTCTTCATCCATCCTAGATCCGGTTGCCTTTTTAATTCCATAAGTCCATATTAGATACCATGGATAACCAAAAAAAAAGAAAAGGAAACCCAAACAACTTGTAATGGGAGAATTTTAGTTATTCAGGCAAAATACTACTACATATGTAGAAGAGGGTTGGCCCAAAAGGAAGTTAACATGTATATTCATCAATGGTTTAAGGTTTGTACTGGTCACACAAGTGGAGAAGACCATGAAACTATACCAAAGAAGAAAATTTTTATTCATTACAGCTGATAAAAAGGGGACAAGAGTGTACTCACGGTTGTAAAGATGCTGCAGAATGGAAATAAACAATAGTATAAGGCTTCAGTGTCAATGACTCAAACTCCTAAAATTGAAAAGTGAAAAGCAGTCATGAACAGTGAAATGCAGGAATAACCAAATCACTTGATGTTGATATAGAATTATAGATGATAGGACCTTGTACATTGTGCAAGGTAGACAATCATTGGTGATCATAATAATCTAAGCACTAAGCCCATACCTTTACAACATAGAGAATAAATCTCTCTAGATCAAGACACTTTAGCAGAAAATGTGCCCCCACAATCACCATTACAGGGCGACCCTCACTGTCAACCCCACCTCGATAACTGAAACACAAGGAAAGAGGAAGAGAAGTTGGGAAGCATATATGAAAATCATGCCAACTAAGTGGATCTTTAAGAATGTAAATAGTTTTTGGTTTCTTAACAACAGTTGTTTTACCCTCCTTGAAGGAAGAGCAAGAAAGGGTGTGTGGGGTTGTATCTAATAAAATAATTAATAGTTGCTTACACAATCTTCGTTTCAGCAATATCAGAAAGATTCAAAGAATTTGCTTTAGCAAGGTATCTAGAATGAAGAGAATATTCTTCAGCAGCTGACAAA